AACCCGAATCTTGTTTACATAAACCTTTCTCATAATAATTTGTCGTCATTACCAGATGATCTCTTATTGAACTCTGATAAAGTTCAGGCACTTGACCTTTCTTATAACAATTTTACAGGGTCCATTTCAGGTTTGAGAGTTGAGAATTCCTGCAACTCCTTGTCGCAACTTGATCTATCTGGAAACTTTTTAACGGACTCCATTCCTCCTTCACTTTCAAATTGTACTAATCTCAAAACTTTGAATCTTTCGTTCAATATGATCACGGGAGAGATCCCCAGGTCTCTTGGTGAACTGGGCAGTTTACAGAGATTGGATCTCTCTCACAATCATATCTCTGGTTGGATTCCTTCTGAGCTGGGAAATGCATGTAATTCACTTCTAGAACTTAAGCTTTCATATAACAACATTTCAGGCTCGATTCCTGTCTCCTTTTCCCCTTGTTCTTGGCTGCAAACTCTTGATTTGTCTAACAACAACATATCAGGGCCTTTTCCAGATTCTATCCTTCAAAATCTTGGTTCATTGGAGAGATTGCTGTTAAGTTACAACCTAATTTCTGGATTATTTCCAGCTTCAGTTTCTTACTGCAAAAGCTTAAAAGTTTTGGATCTTAGTTCCAATAGATTTTCTGGTACCATTCCACCAGATATATGCCCAGGTGCAGCCTCTCTTGAGGAGCTGAGATTGCCGGATAATCTCATTGAGGGAGAAATCCCGGCACAGCTATCACAATGTTCCAAGCTGAAGACGCTTGATCTCAGCATAAACTTCCTTAATGGATCGATCCCCGCCGATCTTGGAAAACTCGAGAACCTGGAGCAGCTAATAGCATGGTATAATGGTCTGGAAGGGAAAATTCCACCGGAATTGGGCAAATGCAGGAATCTGAAGGATCTCATTCTCAATAACAACAACCTAAGCGGCATAATTCCTGTTGAATTATTCAGTTGCAGTAATCTTGAATGGATATCTCTCACAAGCAATCAATTCACAGGAAAAATCCCAAGAGAATTCGGCCTTCTGTCAAGGTTAGCGGTCTTGCAACTAGCGAACAATAGTTTGAGTGGAGAGATACCGACAGAACTAGGAATTTGCAGCAGCTTGGTTTGGTTAGACTTGAACAGCAACAAGCTCACTGGTGAAATCCCACCTCGACTTGGTCGGCAGCTGGGGGCAAAAGCATTGAGTGGAATTCTGTCCGGAAACACTCTGGTGTTTGTTCGGAATGTGGGGAATTCATGCAAAGGAGTTGGAGGTTTGCTGGAATTTGCTGGAATCAAAGCCGAAAGACTTTTGCAGGTACCAACTTTGAAGACTTGTGATTTCACAAGATTGTATTCAGGAGCAGTCCTGAGCCTTTTCACACAATACCAAACGCTGGAGTATCTGGATCTGTCTTACAATGAGCTCCGAGGGAAAATTCCGGACGAATTTGGGGAAATGATGGCCCTCCAGGTTCTTGAATTAGCTCATAACCAGCTATCTGGAGAGATTCCTGCGTCACTTGGCCAGCTCAAGAATTTGGGTGTGTTTGATGCATCGCATAACAGATTGCAGGGTCAAATCCCAGATTCATTCTCAAATCTATCTTTCTTGGTGCAAATTGATCTTTCAAATAATGAATTAACAGGAGAAATCCCACAAAGGGGGCAGCTCAGTACACTTCCAGCAACCCAGTACGCAAACAATCCAGGACTTTGCGGGGTTCCGCTGAACCCGTGTGGGAGCGGAAATAGTCATGCGGCATCTAATCCAGCCCCAGATAGTGGCAGAGGAGGTAGAAAGAGTTCAGCTACATCGTGGGCTAATAGCATTGTCTTGGGGATCCTCATCTCCATTGCTTCCCTGTGCATTTTGGTTGTGTGGGCGATAGCGATGCGTGTGAGGCATAAGGAAGCAGAGGAGGTCAAGATGCTGAATAGTCTGCAAGCATCTCATGCTGCCACAACATGGAAGATTGACAAAGAGAAAGAACCATTAAGCATCAACGTTGCTACATTTCAGAGGCAGCTGAGGAAGCTCAAGTTTTCTCAGCTAATTGAGGCCACCAATGGCTTCTCTGCAGCCAGCCTTATCGGGTGTGGTGGGTTTGGAGAGGTGTTTAAGGCCACATTGAAGGATGGTTCTAGTGTTGCAATCAAGAAGCTGATAAGATTAAGCTGCCAAGGTGATCGAGAGTTCATGGCCGAAATGGAAACTCTAGGGAAGATAAAGCATAGGAACCTTGTTCCTCTTCTTGGATATTGCAAAATTGGTGAAGAGAGACTGCTTGTGTATGAATTCATGGAGTTTGGAAGTCTCGAGGAAATGCTACATGGAAGAGGAAGAGCACGAGACAGACGGATTCTAACTTGGGATGAAAGGAAAAAGATTGCCAGAGGTGCAGCCAAGGGACTTTGTTTTTTACACCACAATTGCATCCCGCACATTATTCACCGAGACATGAAGTCAAGCAATGTTCTGTTGGACCACGAAATGGAAGCAAGAGTTTCAGATTTTGGAATGGCAAGGCTCATAAGTGCACTTGACACACATCTTAGTGTAAGCACACTAGCAGGAACGCCGGGGTATGTGCCGCCTGAGTACTACCAAAGTTTTCGGTGCACTGCAAAAGGAGATGTCTATTCGTTTGGTGTTGTACTACTGGAACTCCTGACAGGTAAACGCCCCACAGATAAAGAGGATTTTGGAGACACTAACTTGGTGGGTTGGGTGAAAATGAAGGTAAGAGAAGGGAAACAGATGGAAGTGATAGACCCAGAATTTCTCTCTGTGACTAAAGGAACCGATGAAGCTGAGGCAGTAGAAGTTAAAGAAATGATTAGGTATTTGGAAATATCATTGCAGTGTGTTGATGATTTCCCTTCCAAAAGGCCTAGCATGTTGCAAGTGGTGGCCATGTTGAGAGAGCTGATGCCTGGATCAGCCAATGGAAGCAGCAACAGTGGTTGAAAACTTGAACATTGTGTACTGTTTGTGGATCATATAGTGTAAGAAGATAAGGTCTTCAATATCTTATGCTAAGGTTTTAAGAATTTTCTTGTATCTAATTTGAAAATGTTTTAATTTTGCTATGTTGATTAGTGCCTAACAGAGATTATGATCATATCTTTGGTCTCTTCCACATGAAATGCAAGACATTGTATAGAGCCAGATATCCATAATTTCTGCTGACCAACCTTCATAATCCTTAAATTTCTGCATCCATCTGTTTACCTTCCCCGTTCCCAGTTCTCAAGATTAACATCCAGAAACATGGGATCCCCACCCTGTACATGCAAGCAACATGCAGGATTGCTCTCTTACAAGAACCTGTTGTTGACATTGATAGATCTTCTGAGATGGAAACTTGGTACAAAGAAAAATCGGATTAGCCATCACCATCGAGTACCCTGTCACTGCCAATAATATGGTCAATTTCAAAAACAAGAAATGCCATAATTGGGTCAATTGTGCAATGTGGATATCTGTCAAACGAACAACTTGATGTCACTCGACCACAATGACTTGAACTCAAGGCTATCAACACCCTGTTCATGATTAGATTATGTAAGGAAATGCTTGCTAGAAACCCTGGTCACCTCTGTAATCCGGGGATTTGAGAAACTAGAGGGCAGAGGGTTTCCACTTTTGATTAGCTCATGGCCCAATCGGCCCATCAATGTTCTTGATATCTTGGCTCGCAATTATGCGGACTCGACTTGCTGGGTGTTGCTCGGAGGCAGCTTGGTTTCATGCTTTCATCTTCTATCTATTAACATGATTTCTGATTGATTGCTTTCCTAATGTCCACGCTGATGAGAAAAGGAAAAACGAAAGCGGCAAAAAAGAAAGAAGAAAAGGGAGCCATTTCCATGACAGATTTGCACTACCATCATATCAGTCATTTACTTTGTTTTCTACCTTGTCCTTTTAGCTCCTTACAACACGATGACGTTTTGAATTGGGATTCTCTCATCTTGTTTCCCTCAAATTTGATCACGTGGATAAATAAATTTTACAACCTCTCTGATTGAAGGATAATACAAAATAAATATATTTCTGGTATCATATCGATAACTGGAATTGCCTTTTATTTTATTTTATTGGTTTTGCTAGATTTTTTAGCATTGGAAATAAAAAATATATATTTATATAAGAAATATATAAAAAAAATACAGGGTTAATTTGAATTATCATTAATTCAAAACGCATGAAAATGATTATATAGAGCGGGTGAACAAGAAAAAACAACTATGTATTACTTCTTTCCTCTTATTTTAAGGATATTAATTATTGTATTCAAAATTAATTTGACATGACTTTTTTTATCAGCTTGAGCTCTTCCATGAACTTTAAAATGACGCATTTTCTTTTTAGATACATCCCGAACGTCAATATGATATTGGTAGTAGTGTGTATTTAGCTATATTATATAGCATAGGGTGTTTTTAATTTTTTTTTAGATTTTTTTACTGTAGAACATTAAAATTATTAAAAAAATATGAAAAATATTATTAATTTGATATTTTCTTAAAGCTAAACGGACGGTTAGAACGCACCCTCGGTAGAGAAGAGAAATGAGGGATGAATTAATGAATAATGCGGATTGCTTGTGAGGCACTGCAAGCTTAATTCCAACGCAATTTCTCTGATAACTACGTGCTCTTGGATATATTTAACTTGGAACAATATATATGTCTGCTAAGGATGTATGAAATAATTAATTAGGAGAAGCGAGGGATACGTTGTTAAACTTGTCACTGAATACGTACAGATAAATCAAAGGTGGAGACTCCATGTTAATTAATTAAGGAAGCATCCATAACCTTTCTCCATCTAATCTCTTGTAAGAAAACCAAGAATCCTCCGTTTCTAACGAAACTACTATATCTCTTGTTTTCACGATAGGGACAAAAACTATATCTCCATAAAAACCAGGCAATATGTAGCTAGCTAGCATTAGTTAATGCAAGTGTTCATCATACTTAGTTTTTTTTTTTTTTTTTTTTTTAACAATGTGTCAGCCTGCAGCCCAGGCTTCCAAAGCCTTCCCAATAACAGCCCTTTCAGTGAGAGTCCTTACGTTGATTTTCCTCTTAGCGTCTCTCATTGTTCTTGCAACGGACACTGCAACATTTAGAAACCTTGCATCTCGGGAAGTCACTCTTCGCTTCAAGAATATATATGCCTATCGGTGAGGAAAAACCCTGCCCTCTGATACCTCTCTAATTGCTTGCTAGCTAGCTAGCTGGCCCTTGGCTTGGGTTTTAGATTTTCATATGGATATTTCATGCTTCGGCAGTTACATGCTTTCTGCAAATGTGATTGGATTGGCTTACACACTTTTGCAAATACCCTTTGCAATCCACCATGTAAGCTTGGGGAAACGCGTGATTAACCATGTCAGCCTGCTTTACTTCGACTTCTTTGGCGATAAGGTTTGTGCTTATTTGTTCGTTCCAATATATTAGTGCTGATATGTTAATTAGGTGTTGGTTGAGAATTGGCCAGAGACGCAAGAAAATATATTGATTCGATCCAGAAACCACTTTGGCGAAATGGTGGTACACTCTGTCTCATGGATTGTTTGATTTTTTATTTTTATACGCATCAAAGCTTTAAATCATATATTTTCTTACCTACAATAATAAACACATAAATTTATTTTAAATTAAAAATAAAAAATCAATCAATGACATTTTTCTCAAAAAAAAAAAACCAAGCATAAAAGAATTTGAAAACAGAGAAAAGACAAGAGAAAAGTTATCACAAAGACCGAGTTCTATGAACTCGGATCATGAATAACATTTGATTGATTGACTTAGCGGATCTCAATATATATTATTTATGACTTTTTGTAGGCGGGTTCTGTAATATGATTATTTTGATTTATAGTGTATTAAGGATAGTTATATTGCCTGAACTCAAGCTATTTAAAACTAAGTGAAAATGACTCGGATTTAAGGCGAGTTTTTTTAACATGGACTAAATCAAGTTGTGTTCCAAAACTCGATTTTCATGCATACCACTGCAAGATTTTATGTTTGGAATTCTTACTTGATTTTATTAATTTAGTGGGCAATTAGTTTGCATGCATAAAAAATAATGGAATCAATGGTCTACCACAACCATCCATAAAAGTTAATCACTTTAATTTGAAGTAACTGCCCGCTCGACCTCTTACGCTTTAAAGTGTTCGCAGTTTTGACTCCATGTAACATTATTTACGATCTTGGATTCGAGCAACCATTTCAAAAGCATGAAATCAAGAGCTGGGAGTACTCTAGATTTCAATTGCCTCTTCTTTTTACGATAATCGATAGCATTATTAATTAATATCATGTTAGCCATTTAGAAAATGGCCGATATCATTCCAGGTTTCAATTGCTCAAGTCGCAAGACGCAATGGCTTACCTTTTACCCTTTTTTTTTTTGCTGTACTGGGAATCTCGAACAGGTTATACTATCCTTATTGGCTACTGGGGTTGGGGCAGGATTTGGTGCAACTAGCGACCTGAAGGAAAACCTAGATCAACTGGACAGGTTTACTGCACGAATCGGCTACCCAGTTCTCTCTGAAATCCGACCAAAGGGAGACAACTTCTTTAATACGGGGTTTGTCTCTGCAAGCCTACTTCTCATGGGTTTCCTGTGCTCTGCAGTATCATCAATCATATCATCCTTGGCCCTCTCCATTAAGGAGTAGACGAATATTAGAGGAGAGGAGGGTAAAGACGGTGTAAATTTGTTAGGCCTGGCTAATGGGATATAGCGCTCCAAGCTAGGTTAATGCTAAGCCCAGTTTTCGTTTTACAAGAGCCATGCTGAGGTTGCCATTCCATTGTCATCGTTTCGTGTTTCCTTTCTTCTTTACTCGTTTCTTTGCTAGAGTGATCGGTGTAGCCCAAAACAATTATTAAGCCCAAACTCAGCTCCTTTTGTCTGATGTGCTTGTCTGTTAGCTCCAAGGAACAAACATGATGACCCACATTGCAATAAGACATCAGAGTAAATTGTAAAGTGGTCCTTATTGTTTTATGGAACAAATCACGTAATCATTCTTTTTAAAAAAACAATCGATTAATCTCTTGACCACATTTCATTTCACCATCAAGTCAGGAACAAGCATGACTGGAAAATTGGTGTCAGAGTCGCATTTCAATAGTGGAAAGTAAACAGCAGGAAGTTATTGCAGATTTGAGAGATCAATTAATTTCTCTTGAACCTCAAGGGACTAAATTACTTCTTTGTAATAAATAAAGAGACTTAAGCTATGATTTACTTAGAACATAAAAACTCACCAGCTCTTGGCAGTTACCAGTTTGTTTTTTTCCCCGAAACGAAACGCAATAACCTACCTGGCTAGAAATTGTGGGGGTATTTACCTAGCTAGACAAACATTTTCATGTTCTATTTTCCACTTTTCACAGGTTAGATTTTAAACCTTTTCTGCTAGAAAAAACCAGGGTCTCCATAATCCCATCATCGCATTGGAGACGGAAAGCCAGAGTGGATGAGGATATCTTTGTCCACTTCTATGTGTCCATGGCTGTACCTTTCTCACGATAGGGTAGTCCCTTTCCACCACTGCCTGCTGTTGCATTCCATGTGGGAGAGATTTTCCATGCTATCAATGAAGATGGGGAATTGCATAGAGACAAAGTTACTTTCTTTCCCCCCAACATTCATAGGGTATACGACTACTACTACAACAATTACCTACTTCTAGTGTTCTACCACCACCACTGTTTTCTACTGCAAATAAAGACATCGTTCGAGTTAGTGTTTGATCAACATGAGATCAACCTAGTCTGTCTATTTTTGGACACGATTTCACAAATTAACGACTCTTCAAAATTTAGTCTTTTTGATGGATGAATTTTTTTAACATTAATTATTCATGGTTGAACTTACTCTAAGAACCCAAAGGTGAAAAAAAAGAAGAAGAAAAGGCATAAGTGAAATAAAAAATAAAATCATAAATTAATTTGGAGTTATTAAAACTTTTTTCCACTTATTCTAGGTTATGTATATTTTTTTTATGATTAAGATTTCAACAATGGGGGGAGAGTTATCGCTTCTAAATGTTTTTTAAACTTACTATTATTTTGAAAAAAATATCAAAATTAATTTTTTATTATTATTTTAATGTGCTAACATAAAAAATAAATAAAATAAATCATTTTAATATATATATTTTCAAACAAAAAATATTTTTCAAAAACACCCATGTCCTAAGAGAAATTTTAAATCAATTTATATATCTACCAAGATTAAATCACTTCATAAATATTTAAGGATATCTTGACAAACGACCTATGAACTGCTATTATAGTTTTGTTTAAGAAGTTTAAGTAAACAAAATCTAAATAAAATGCATGAGATTGCTTGCAAAGCACTAAACATCATCTCAAATTTGAATGTTACTTTTTTTTTGTTTCGATATTAAAAGCGCATTTTTAGATCAACTTGCACATCAACTAGGATTATCTTTTTTAAAAAAAAAACCTTAAGAACGCACCCCCCCTCACATGCTTCATCAAGAAAATATTAATAAATTTTTCTAGATACTAATCTCAAAGTTAAGAGCAGTAGATAGTAATAATGTATATCCTTGATTTAAAGTAAGTGAAATGTATTATTGTATACTTTTTTAATTAATATTTTATCTTATAACATTCAAATCCAACCCAAAAGTAATCAGTCCAATTTAATTACATGCTAGATCCTAATCTTTCGATTGATGGCTTGTTAATTCGTGATGTCTAGTGGGGTCAAGAATTACAGGAATTGTTGGCCGTAAAAAGATCTATGGGGGAGAAATCTGAAGTACAACACTCATTTTTCTATGGAAAAGGTGTTGCGGGTTACAGGTTTATTTTAAGCATAAATGTCTTCCTTCATGTAAGATGAGTGTCTAAGACAGTTTAATTTCCTTTGCATTTAGGCTGCTATATAAAAGTGGAAGGTCACCCTAAAAACAGTAAACGCGTTTATTTCTCTAACTTAAAATAATTGTGAATTAAATACCAGTCATTCATTTATTGAAGAAGAAGAGATGGAAAAGATCAGCGAGGATAAGATTAAGAGAGGTTTTTCAGAGAGAAATAAAGAGATGGTATTTTTTATTAATTGAATTTTATTTAAAATTCAATTTAATACTCTCAAAACCTATTCAACATGGAATATAAGTATATAACTCTATGGATTGGATTTAATTTATAGGTTACAAGGAGTCTTAAAAGAACAAATAGCAGTGAACAACCCAAGCCCTAAAACTGATTTAGAATAACGGAAGTTCCACCGATTGGCGATGGTTATCTTTCAAGTGGACAAAACAATGGAAGCTGCATTAAGAGGTAGGGAAAGAGGAGCACGTGGCCCCGGTAAAGAAAGAAAAAGGCTACGAAAACAATGGAAATCCTTTTTAGCCTTTTGGCGCCTCCTGCATTTCGCCTTTGTTTTGGCTTAAACTACGAAACAAAGTCAGCTAACACACACACATAATGCCATTAATATATTTATTTCTTGTTGTTAGCCACTACAAATCAGTTCTTAACTCTTAACTGGGAGTCAAGCATCGGTGGGCTGGCCTCTATATTAAATGCGAAAGAGACTGTGCCCTTCAGTGTCGAATAAATCTGCAACCTCTCCTGGTTCTGATAAAGTGAGAGAGTGTGTGTGTGAGTGTTAAGAGAGAGAGTGAGGGATAAATATTTCGAGTTTGTGTGTTGTTTATGTTGAGAGGGACGAGTGCCTGTGCACAACCATTTCAACTGTGGCACTGAAAAACATGGTGTTTTTCTGACCATTTAAAGGGGACACAAATGCAATGAAAATGACGTTGCCTTTCCTTCTCGCTCTTTAAAGATCCTTTTTCTCTCTCATTCTCTTCTACAAAATTGAATTTAGGTTGAAAAAAGGGTCAATGGTACCTCTGAACGGTTCTTCCAATTTTATACTAGCATAATGGTCCCAAGAAATCTAATCGCCCAAGCTTAATCAGAGGCACACTGCTAATAATCCATTTGTCATGCATATTTACATAATAAGGAAGGGTCATGCAGACAGTTCAGCATGCAGCATGCTTTAGTTTTACCAACCTTGAAAGCTGTATATGAATTGTCGATCCATGGCTGCAATTTTTATGTCGGCTCCCTCTCTACCTCACATGATTACACTTTTTGTCGACACAGCTGATCTATTCTCCAAGTATTAATCCAAATCCAAATTATATTCAAACCAACGGTCACATGACAAATGACAGAGTACTTAATTATTAGCCAGGAAGAAAAAGGGATATCTCAAGCTAGGTATGTGCTGCATAGAATAGAACCTGCCATATTATTCATGATCATGTCTTTGGAGAGAGTTCTCCATCTTTATTAGTAATAAATATAGAAGGAAAGGAGCATTATATTTACATGAAAAAAATTTGAAGCATTTCGATCTTATAGTTAACAAGCCATATTATATATGCAGATTCATGTGAGTGGTATTCATGACGACACATCCTGTCGCAGTGCCATGTTATATATGATTGAGTTTCTGTGGTCTATGATGAATCCTCTTCTGCCTTGAAACCTCCTTGTAAATATTGCTATATATGGACTATAACACATGAAAACCCCATTAATCTTGCTCAAGAAAAACTGAAACCTCGTAATAAAGTCCGGCTGGCTAGCCATTCCTCTTTGAAACAAATGAAGATATTTATATATATTAAATCAGTAAAAATGAACTGTTACACCATCCAAATGTGGTTAACTAGCAACAATGGTTTAAAACACGGAGTTTGATTATACAGCCAGAGAACCTTCATTTTTTTTTTTTTGGGTTAAAAGTTATAACAGAAAATTTAAATGAACAGATATAAAAAAACCAAAAATCAAAACAAAGAGAGGTTTTCTTAATACAGTTGCATGATATTTTTGAGATATCATTCTCCATCCCCTTCAGTAGTTGCTGTGGACATGTAACTCATAGCAAGAGAAGTCTCGTCTGCCGGTGCAGCAGCAGTTGATGCGTGGAATTGTTGCTTGCAGACTTGGCAGGTGACTTGCATAATGGTAGAACTAAATTTCTTTGTAGCTTGCTCTTTCAAAAGTTGAGCCTTTTCAAGTTCAGATTGAGCTTGTTGCCTTATCCTCTTTGCGTTTGCAAATTCTAGTTCAGCCATCTCAATTTGCCTCTTTGCTTGTTGTCTAGCCTCCTCAGCATAGGCCTTTTCAGTCATAGCCAACCTCAATTGTTCATTTGTAAACTCCTTTAACTTTGCTGCTTCGAGTGCAGGCTCATTAGAAGTGCTTTTATGCCAACTCGGATCCCCAATGGCCTTGTTTGATCCATCCTTTTCACAACTATGATCACTTGACCCTATTGAAAGCTTCAAATTCGCAGCATGAGGCTCGTCAGGGTTTTGTGGTAAGTGATTGCTCGAAGATGGTAAGAGCTGAAGTTCAAGATTATGTTCTTTCTGACTAGAAGTGGACGCATCATTTCTATCCGAGCACAAGTAAACTTGTTCGGTTGGCTTTGACATTGGTATCCCTGGTAAGGGTGCTATGTTAAAATTGGCATCACTTGAAGGGCTGGTGCTTGAAGCAGTTCTAGATGAGCAGGCCGGCTGCAATGCCTGTAGTTCAGGCTGGGCTCCCCTTACTGTGCAAGCATCTTGGTGCTCAATGAAACTCTCCACCCTGAAAAGACAAGCAATTGGAATGATTCAAAGTGATAATTAAGTTTAATGGTGTGGGATTATTCTTGATGTCTTTTGATAAACAAAAGTTTTCAATTACAGCTAGGCATAATTAAGGCTTCGACGTGTAGGGATGCTAAGAAACAAGCATTATAAAATTGATTTAGGATCTGTACAATTGACCATATGACTAACTAGGTTCGATATATTAAATACAAATAGCCTTAAAAAAGGTGGGGATGTGGGCTGTGTGTGCAAATGAGTGCGCACAGTTTGTTTCTGTTTTATAAGTAATTGGGTTTTTCTTATATTTAGCCAATGAAAACTGTTTTGGTGAGCAGTGATGTACTGCTCCTTCAACTTACATTGGTTGGCCTAGATCGCTTACATGGGCAAATATGAAGTCATGCAGTACTGGAATGGAAACCGTTCTTGGATTTAGTACATCCACACATGTATTTATCTTGTAAAATAAAAACAGGCTTGAATTGCTCTTGTGGGATCATCATCATAAAACCAAAAATAACATGAAATTCCTTGCAAGGTAAGGCATGCCCTTTTATGCTTGGAGGGGGGGGGGGTACTGTTAGGGTTAATTATGAACAAATAGAAGAGAACCTGGAAAAGACACGGCCACAGTCACAAGAATGACCTCTTGTGCCACAAGTCTTGAGGTGAGCTTTGTAATCAGACTGAACCGCGTAACCCTTAGAGCACTTCTCACAAACCCACTGCTTGTGATTACTATGCTTCCTTCTAAAATGCTTCTTTATGCCAACAAGATCTCCTAAAGCATGGCAAGGGTCATGATGTAAGCAGCTAGGCTCTGGGCATACATAAACTCTCTTCTTCACTTCTTGTGTCTCCCTTTTCAGTAGCTTCCATGGCACCTTGTGCCTTCTCCTGTGCATTTGAAGGTTCTGGTCTCTTTGAAACCCTTGGTTGCAGATCTCACAAACATATCTGTCTGATTCTAGTAGGGTCCTGGGCGATAGAGATACAACCTCTGCATCTGGATCTATTTTTTAAAACAAACAAAAAGTAATTAAGAAAATACATGAATTGAACTGGTAAAGAAAAAAAGAAAAACAAAGAAGAAGAAGAAGAAGAAGAAGAAGTGGAATGAATACACGAAGGGCAGAGAGTTTTAGTTCTTGTTTTTACGTCACTGGAGCAATACCTGGTGTGCCTGCAGGTTTTCTTTTTCTTTTATTGGTGACCCCATTATCCAAGGAAGCTGTGAAGGGATCAGAGGAAGGAGATGGAGCAGTTGAAGTGGTGGTGCTGTCGAGCATGGATGAGGATTTTGTTTGGGATTTGGTGGCTATATGGTGTTGTAGGTGAAGTGAAACAAATCAATCTTTAGCTGTACAGGCGTTGAAGTTTTTTTTGGTGTAGTGGGGTTTTCAGCTTTACTGATGATAAAAGAAAGAAAATGGGCAGAGAGAGGGAAGGAGAAAGTTAAGAGGGAGAACATGGAGAAGGGAAGAAAAGCTCTTTGCTTTCTGAAATCTACTTTCTTTAAGCTTTTCCTTTTCTTCTTTTTAGCTTTTTTGTTTAGCCATGAGCTTTCTTGGTTTTGTTGTTGTTTGTTTCATTGACTCGGCCATCCCCCACCTTGAGCAGGTAAAGGTTAGAGGCAAAGTCTTGTTTATAAAGCTCTCTCTACAGTTTACTACAGATAGATAGAGAGAGAGAGAGAGAGAGAGAGAGAAGAAGAGGCCGAGTCCAATCACCATTGCGTAAAACTTTGAGCCCCCACACACAGGATTTGGACAGAAACAAAAGAACATCCCCCTCCGCAACAATACAACCAGTCATTATTCGTATCACACTGTAATTTGCATGCATAAATGCAGGCCAGGCCAGGCCTCTGTTGCACGTGACCTCACATCCTCCTCCTCACGTGGCCTTTTCCTAAAATCTACTTTTCCATGATTAATTAATGCCTAAAACCCTCTCATTGGTCAGTCTCCCTTTTAAAATCTTGATCTGTTTAGTTTTAGCTGATAGAATCGGCCTAGACGATGCCGTGGATCCACTTGTTAGACTCTCTTGTTAAAAACCTGATGTTGACGAATAATAATTATGCTGCATAGACTGTATTATAAAATAACTTTCTAAAAAGTAAGAATTGCAAAATTATTTATTTAATCAACTGGGTATTTTCTGTGAAGATGGAAGTATTTTCATACCACTCCTAAAATTAAAATAGAAAATCTTGGGAGTCCCCATTCTCTACTAGACATTACATAAAATTACACTATACGTAAGCCAAATTATCGGCCGAGCTCTGAATGATTCTTGAATCGCACGTCATAAATCTGCTTGTGCGGTCTGTCTGGGCAGATCGCTAGCTTTTAAGCCCTCGAGGCTAAGCTACCGCCTCTAAAACATATCAAGATCATACTTTATATGTTATTCCCTTGTTTCTTTCTTATTATATTTTATGAAAAACTAATTCCCAACTACACTCCTCGTGTTAATTGGATAAAATAAATCCAGTCCCCAAAGTCTTGAAAATTAGTTATGTTCTTCAATTTTGCTCACTCAAGTCAAGACCTTGTACTTTTAATTATCAATCACACGATCCCTCCACCAGCTAGTCAGTCTCTCAAACCGACAAACATGAACGCAGCCTTGAATGCACATAACCTTTGGCTAAAAAAGTAAGAAATTAAAAGTTATGTAAAGCAAAATGAGAGAAGACAACCATGAGAGAGAGACAGAGAGAGAGAGAGAGAAGGAAAATGAACAGGAGAATCACTTGATTTGCGCATTCCAAGATCGTCACAAATTGAAAGATTTGGAGGGGACAAAGTTAACAGTAACTAATGGAGCTTTTGTAACTGCGTTTTTAAATGGTGTTTCTTAGATTTTATTTCTTTATTTGAAATTATCTTTTTATATCTTTTTATCATTAACATCTTAATATAAAAATAATTTTTAAAAAAATAAAAAAAAATTTCTAGATGAAAAAATAATTGTTACAACATGATTTAGAACGACTTTTTATTTCAATTTTGAATCGACAATTTAAAAAAAGAAATTTCAATTTTTTTGTGTTGATTGATTTTTCAAAAACTGGTCTTCAAGCTTGTGTTCACGACGGTGTGACAAATTGGGGAAGGGACACGTGCATATATTTACCACCCAATTCTCACATATGGGTCCCAAAAAACATATTTCTAATTAGACCCTTCATGTATTGGATATCACTCAATTAACTGTCATCTTGTAAGTTTTGTCTTTACAGTCATAAAAAGGAGATCCATGTGGCTAAAATTACATCATTTTCTCATAAATTTAACATGACAATGAACCGTGAAATGTCAATACATGGCAACCTAATGAAGTATTTTTTATTTTAAAATATATTAAAAAAATTAAATGTTTTTTTTTTAATTTTTGATATCAATATATTAAGATAATAAAAATAACTAAAAAATTAATTTAATATTATTTTAAAAAATACACCTTTAAAAATGATCTAAAAATAAAAACTAGCGCATTTCTAAACAGATACGCATGAGAAGTAGATCGAGTCCCAGCGTGAAAAATTAAAGGAGACAGCTCCTAGACTCGTAGCGGTAAAAAGGACCATAGATTTTTCAACCCGAGTGTTGACCTGGTATGTGTCCAGACACACACACCTCTGTATTCTCTGGGTAAGTTTGGAAAGTGAAAACGATTGCATCAAGCGCCGACAAAGGAGGTAGAGAAGTCGAAGAAGAGTCAAAACCGACAACATCCATTTTCCCATGTAATTCGACTGCATTTTCTGCTGCCTCAGCAAGATTAATTTAATTATACCGAACAAGGTGAATCAAAGTATACAAAAGCTATCTTAACAGAAGCTAATCGAGCCTCTATATTATCAAAGTCTACAGAAGCTATATCTTTTCTTTCCTTTTAATTTCATTATTTAAATTTTAATTCTGTTAGCTTCATAATTTATTTATATATTTTTTTCTATCAAGTTCTTCTAGGATTAAGTATTTTTTTTAATTGAATCTTTATTATATTTTATCTTTGAATGTTTTGTTAATTGAAAATTATATTTTTTAATTTATTTTTTATAAGATTATACTGGTTAATTTGATGGGTTAATGTAATTTGATTCTAGTATTTTATATTTTTTAATTTTATTATTTGATATTATTTTGATTATACATTAGATTTTATAATTTATTTTAATTAAATTTTTACAAGATTATCCTAATATTATAATGACTTTGTTTACGAGTTAAACTGGTTAACTTCGCACAAGTCATTTTGTTTTTTTAATAGTTTTTAATTTATTTTTTTATAATTTCAGTTGTTTAAGCTGTCAACGGGTCAGCTGTACTGTTTAGGTAAATTCTAAACAGATGCGTTGGCTGGCTCAACAAAGACGCTAATTAAAATGAAATCTACGAATTCCCTTGAAGGCCCATAAAAACAGCAGAATTCACACTTCTTAGTTGTGGGGGCATTTACACACACACACACACACACATCACAGACTTAAAGATTTAAAACATTAGACAGAAGATTAGACACAAAATAATAAAATATAATATAGTAAAAGGCCCTTCGCGCATAATTGCTTGTGTGAATTCTCTGACGTTTGATTTATTGAAATTGAAGCACGATTTTCTACTTTAAACTGGTAAGCTACTGCAAACCTCACAGAGAGTCCACCTAGTAGACATATGATGAAAGGATAATACGGTGAACATTCCCTCGTGTTCCAATGCTCTCGAAGGGTTATAAGATCTCCTGCACATGCATATTCTGTAATTTTACAACAAGAATCCAGCCAGTAAACATACGTTAAAACTAATTTATCATTGGGAAAAAACACATGAGTTACAGTTTTGATCTTTTCTCAAACACAAGAATTGATGTTTGATTAAAGCTGTAGATTTTTTATGAACTTGGAAATTTTTATTACCCAAAAAAATGCAAATTGTTGGAGGGACAGAGAGGGGATATATAATTGTATTCAATAATCATGGCAGAAAGGATAGAAGATGCCTGTGTTTGTATGCTGAGTTAGGAAGAATAAGAATAAGAAGATGGAATATGGATTGTGAACACATGCTGCGTTCAAAAAGCAAAAGCAAGTGGCAATCATCCTTCCCAATTGTCCAGGATTCCAAATGTAATGATCTTTTCTTACTTTAATCAACAGCACTAAAACAGTTTAAACTTGTGAACCGTATTTTAAACAATCTGTTGACTTCTAGCTGGGCTCCAATTGGCTCGTTTTCCCTCCCAGCAGCTGAACTTTAATCTTTGAAACTCGTAGGCAAGGCATTGTAGGGATATTGTTGGTTCATCTTTACATTTTTAGCGCTAACTTGAAGATGAACTTTCAGTTGATGCATCATCCAGCGAAATTAAGCAGAAAACAAGAAGGAAGATAACAGATAAACAAGTGTACCGCAATGATTTCCTGGTAGCAGGCAATGGCCCCAGGTAATAGCACTGAAACCTGGGGTCTTGTCTTGTCCAGGCTTGTTGGTACGTATCCTCAGAAGTGAATCCAAGTTGGCTTCCATGTTAGGGTCTAAACGAAAGCAATAGGAGCAATCCAGGATCCCATGGCATATCTTGTCCATCCCTCCATCACACACCCTTTCACTTACTTTAGAGGCATGGAGAAGATTTGTTTGTTTGTTTTCTCACCTACATGGAACTTTCATTTTTGTTTTCTAGAGAATTTGTTTTTGCTTTTGATTGTTTTTTTCTGGCTCTTCGAGGGAGAGAGGGGGGAAGGGACTGTCGTTTCTTTGGTAGGGACTGTCAGGACCTGAAAAGCCATCGTGCTCTGTAAACCCAAAAAAAAAAAAAACGTAAAGGATAAAAAAAGTTACCCAGGAGGTGAAAATTGAGAAGATAAAGATGGGGTTGGAAGAGTAATGAAAAGACAAAAAAGCAAGTGCTTAACCGAGTTCCATGAAAGTCAATAAAGTAGTCTACAAATTTTGGCACATCACGTCACAGAGACAAATATACCCCTGCATAAGGGTCCCTTGTTATTTTAACCTGCCAGTATTATAACAAAACGAAACACAATTATAATAATGTGCTCCTCGTTCAACATTTATTAATAACATTTATGTTTTAAAATTTTAATTTTTTTTATGTTTTATAAATTAATAATTTTTTTATTTTTAAAATTATTTTAATATAATAATATTAAAAATAATATTTTAAAAAATAAAATATATTACTTTAATATATTTCTAAATAAAAATTAATTTAAAAAACAATTACAACCACCACTCTTAACTTCAACTTAAACCATAAGATAACCATCTAGGTGGTGGCCAAGTGGTAAGGACTTGGGATCAAGGGATTTGTTCTCTTTGTGGTCTTAGGTTCGAGTTCTTGGTTGCTCATATGATGGCCACTGGAGGCTTATATGGTCGTTAACTTCAGGGCCCGTGGGATTAGTCGTGGTGCATACAAGTTGACCCGGACACCTACATTAATCTAAAAAAAAAACTTAAACCATAATATAGGTGGTGGCTAGTTTTGGAGCAGTAGTGAAACAGTATTGGTAAAAAAAAATATTTTTTAAATGTAATTTTATATTACATGAAAATTTTTAAATAAAAATATATTATTTTAATATATTTTTAAATAAAAAATATTTTAAAACAAAATCTTTACGGACTCTGAGGCAAACAATACATGCTTCTTCCGTCCATCCCTCTCGCTTGTTAGC